TAATCTTTTGTCGAAGCGACGATCACTAGAACAACTTTTACTCTTTCTTGAAGAAGGTGGTTATTTATTATCGCGTGAAAAACATGACGTAACAGAAGTAACAGAATCTTATCGTGTCTTTTCTGCATTAATCAGCAACGATAATCTAGAACAATATGGATTAAATGTTATTCTTGAAAAACGTACTGAAAAAGAAATAATCGTGCTTCTAAAAAAACGAATTACAATCAAAGAAACAACTGTTGTTTATATTAACAATAATAACTTTGAATGGGTGGAAAACTTGAAGCTATTTATAGACGAAAAGGAAACATTTAATCAGAACAAAAGAATTGTAGTTGTTAGTGAAAGCGATTTTGAGTGCAGTTTATTGGGCTTTGTTAATTGCTTGAGAAAAGAGCCTGGTAGCGAGCTCGTTAGAGGTGTGTTTATTCAAGACGAGACTGCTCCAAAATTTTCTTTGCAAGATCCCTTCTATGCGCAACAGTTGCAGAAAGATATGACAGTCAATATTTTGCGACCTAATAAAACTTGGGGTTCTTATCGACATTTCTGTTTGCCAGCTCCGGAACCCGCATTTGTTCCTGTTGCTTACGTGTGTCAAACGGTAGGCAAAACATTCGCAAATTTTGAATTTAATTATAATGTTGCGATATTTTTGTTATTTCTAACAATTTAACATTATCATATTTTTTATACAGGATCGTGGTAACCTAAATACTTTTTGTTGGATAGAGAATGATATATTCATCGACTCTCATTGTGATGATTTAGTACGTGTAGTTTATTCGTCCATCAATTTTAGAGATGTAATGTTGGCAACAGGAAAATTAACTACTTTAGGCATCGAAGAGCAATTCGAAAATATGTCTCTTGGATTGGAATACGTAGGATTTGATGCCAAAGGACAACGAGTAATGGAAGTACGCAACAATAAGTACGCAACAATATATAATAAGTTATACATATTTATGCTCATGAAAAAAAAATATGTTATACAATGATCAGTCATACATATGTGTACTTTAAGGTGCATCGCAAATGTCGTTTTGAAAAGTGATTTACAATGGGTCATACCAGATACTTGGACATTCGAAGAGGCGGCTACGGTTCCTTGTGTATACAGCACGTCGTATTATGCTTTATATATTAAAGGAAAAATGAAAAAGGGTGATAAAGTACTTATTCATTCTGGTTCCGGTGGCGTTGGACAGTCAGCAATTTATCTTGCCTTACGTGAAAAATGCGAAATATTTACTACAGTAGGCACTGCTGAAAAAAGACGATTTATCCGAGAAATGTTTCCGGCTATTCCCGACAATCACATTGGGACTTCGCGCGACATTAGTTTCAAAGAGATGATTATGCGCCAGACAAACGGTCGCGGTGTTGACATAGTGCTAAATTCATCGGCGGAAGAAAAACTTATAGCGTCTGTTCGTTGTTTAGCGCAAAACGGTCGTTTCTTGGAAATCGGAAAGTTCGACTTTGTGTCAAACAATCTTTTAGACCTATCATTATTTAGAAAAGGAATTTCTTTTTACGGTGTTTTATTAGATTTAATTTTACAAAGAGAAAAACACAATCACAAGACCGAGTTACTGAAATTAATGGCTGATGGTCTTAAGAATGGTGCTATCAAACCCATAAAAGCTAAAATTTTCCAAAAAACAGAAATCGAAAAAGCCTTTAGATACATGACAAGTGGAAAACACATAGGAAAGGTAAATATATAACACAAAATGTTAAATAAATCTAAATCTTTTTTCATCATAATATAAATTTGTAGATAATTTTGAATATTCAAGAGACAGACAAATGTCTTGTAAATGCGCCGATCATCGCACATCGTCGTTACTATTGTCGTAACGATAGAACTTACATCATACTTGGCGGTCTAGGTGGCTTTGGATTGGAATTGACCGAATGGCTGATATCCCGGGGTGCGAGAAATGTCGTGTTAACTTCAAGAAGCGGAATAAAAACTGGTTATCAACGCCTAAAGGTCTCGTTATGGAGATCTTACGGCGTAAACGTAACGATTGTTAAAAATAATGATANTATCAATCCTATANATTNTGAACATCTTTTGCTAAGTNCAGAAAAAGAAGCACCTGTAGATGCTATATTTAATCTTGCTGTTGTTTTGAAAGATAACGTTTTAAAGAATCAAACTATCGAGAGTTTCGTAGAATCTTTCAAAGCTAAAGCCTGGCCGACACTGATGTTGGATAAACTGTCTAGAAAAATTTGCCCTAAACTTCAACATTTTGTTGTGTTCTCTTCAGTTTCCTGTGGCAGAGGAAACGCTGGTCAAACTAATTACGGTATAGCTAATTTCGTGATGGAAAGGATATGCGAAAAAAGAGTAAAAGATGGATTTCCTGGTTTAGCGATACAGTGGGGAGCTATAGGTGATGTAGATCTTGTTGCTGACATGCAGGAGAACGACAAAAAACTCGTTATTGGTGGTACGCTGCAACAAGGAATATTATCTTGCCTTAACGAACTCGACAAATTCTTACTTCAGAATCGGCCGATCGTAAGCAGTGTGGTAGTGGCTGAAAAGAAACAGAGAGCATCTGAATTTAATATCATGGAAACTGTTGCTTCTATTATGAGTAAAAGTTTACATACAAAATTTATATTTTTCTTATTGTGTTAACATTAATTAACATATTCTTTCTAACTTTTGACGTTTTCTCATTTTATGCAATAAGATATAAAAGACATTAAAAAATTAAGTCAAACTACATCTCTGGCCGAACTTGGGATAGACTCTATGATGGCAGTGGAAATTAGACAAACTATGGAACGTGACTTCGACGTGTATCTCTCCTTACAAGAAATACGAAGCCTCACCTTTGCAAAACTCTTTGATATATCTGACACAAAGGCCATTGTTGAAGAAACATCTGAAGAAGCTACATCTGATAAGATAATCGAGCAAAACATATTTGGTATTGTACAAAACAAAGAATTCATCTCTAAAATTTTTGTAGACTTGTCGCCTAAAAACAAAGAAAGTGCTACTCAAGTCTTTCTTATACCAGGATTTGATGATTGTGGAACTATATTTAATCATTTAAAAATGTATATTAAATTTACTGCAACATCATTGCATTATAATACAGGTGTTATTTCCACTTGTAATACTTTGTCAAAGATGGTTAAGATTCTCAAACAGGTAAACCGTAAATACTTTTTGTAGTGTAGTAATTTTTGTACCCAGTAAACAATTAGTTCGCAATTTGCCAGCAAATTGTCAGCAATTTTAAGCAAACACATTTAGCAAATTAGCATCAACTGTGTTCGCATTAGGCTTCGATTTTGTTGCCAAAGCTTGTCGACAAAAAATAACAGCAAATTGCTACCAAAAACCGAGCAAAGCTTGATAACATAATCTGAGACCAAATTGACGCTAAATATGAAGCAAGATTCGCGCAACACGATTTAATAGCAAATTGACATTTATAATATAAAAAAATGACTTAGATTTATTAAGAGTATGAATAAGTTTCCGCCGTTTTTTATCAAAAATTGGGCATTTATTGTGAAAGAACGGTACATAATGTTTTATTCGAAGTATTGTCCATCGCTAGCCACTACCTTTTCCCATCTTTCTGGTAGCATACGGATACCTTGTCAAAAAAACGCTTCATCTTTTGAAGCTATCCAGGAATCGACCCANTTTTTGGTATCTTCATATGATGTAAAGTGTTGCTCAGACAGGCCATGTGCCATCGATCGAAACAAGTAATAATCAGAAGGAGCAATGTCTGGTGAATACGGCGGGTGNCATAAAACTTCCCAATTGAGTGTTTCCAAATA